GCAGCTATGCCCAAGACAGTTTGGCCAGCTGAGACTTGACCAAGGCTCCTGAACCTTAGCTTTGACTTTGACACAGACTTCAACTAAGGCACCAAGATTACTATTTTTTTAACTGAGATAAAACCTGGTAGAATAGGTTTGCATGACTTCCTGATGGCTAACGGTGAGAAAAAAAAAATCTGAATCAGTTTTGATGTTTATTTTCAAGTTAAGTCCCAGGAACTAAAAACACAAAGCTTCAAAGGATTTCAGAAACTGGGTGACTAGCCATGAAAGTTGGAAAAAACGATTTTCACATTGACCATTCCTTTTTTTTTAATTATTATTGTTTCAGTCCTAAATCTGCAGCCTGCTTTCCCTAGGTTTCCATTTGATAGTGTACTGATCTTTGGAGTGATGACTTTTGAGAGAAATCAGAATTTATATTGCCTTCATATACTTATAGAAAAGAAGGCAGCAAGACTGATAGTACTTATTCATAACTAATTTTTATTGGGGTTGCACACACACAATTTTTTGTTACTGTTACATTAACAGTAATTGTCCAGATGTCCAAAATAGAACTTTTCATGGATAGATGGATGAAAAATATATATTGAATGCATGAAATGGGAGAGAAGGAAAGAAGGGGGTGGGGCAGAAATCCAACTTGCCATCACACTGTTAGGATGAGAGGAGGAATCAAACCATAACAGGGACAACTCCAGGCTCAGTAAAGGGAAGAAATGGCCTCTGCTCTTAAACATGCAGCTCAATGTAGATGGAATCACCACATGATGCAACAGTGTGGGTGAGAGCTAGGAATGTGGAGGAATGGAGGAAGGGGGAGGGGAGAAAGATCAGGAGCTATGTTCAAAATAATTTCTTCCTCATCTATGGTTTAGAAAATCAGAAGAGCCAAGTCCTCTGAGTATAGGACACTGCAACCAACACAAAACTCAGCTGTGGCTTTGGGAGACACTGGCCCTTCATTAGAGCACTCTCAGCCTCCAACTACAATTTCTTTCTCTTTTTTTAAGTTGCCATTTTTCTTTCCTGTTTGGCAGCAAATCCGTGGGATTAATGCCCACTCTGTTGCGCTCTGGAAACTGTTTCAGCCGGCTCTGTGATGCTCCTGAAGCAGCTGCCAAAAACTTAAGAGGCCGAAATGGAGTTGGCAATAGCTCATGTAATTTTTACAAAATTATCTGTCTTCCCAGAAAGTCTACGTGATGACAGTTTCTGGAGGCTGAGGAGCCTATGGCCTGGTAGAGCCAATCCCTGCCCCAAGATCAAGTCAAGCCTCCCTCCCCGCAGCCTTGGGCCAACTCTGTAGCAGGCACCAGTGGGAACCAGCCAAGCAGGGCCTCTGGGCCCAGAACACTGGCTCCATTCACAGGGGGGCCACGCTGCAGCTGCCTGCCTCCCCTCTGCAGAGGACATGCCTGCATGGCAGATCCTGCTAGCTTTGTTTTGTGCTTTGTTGGGTTTATCAATGGCTTCATTTCCCACCTCCTACCCTTATTCTTTCTTTTCTTCTCCTTCTTTTAGCTGAAATATAACTTAGACACCATAAAAGGCACACATCTTCAGTGTATACTGTAAGGTTTTCTGGCGGTGGTGAAAAGAAAAGAGACACAGAAAGAGAAAGAATGGGGGGTCAAACCACGTGGCTTTATTATACACTCGTGGAGGAGGTTCTGGGGCCCCAAGAGCGGGGGCCCTGGAAGTCGCCGCCATTTGAAGGGGCTGAGGCCTTTTATATCCTTTGGGCCTGGCTAGAGACTTTTGACGGGAAGAGCTGGGGATTTTAGGGGGGGCTGGAGGTATTTGTGGAATCCAGGAGCCAAAACATTCTTATCCAGGTGGACATCTGGGTGTGGATCCTCTCAGCGGGGCCTGGCAGTTTTGTCCTCGGTGGGTCTGGTCTCATGAGCCTTTTCTTTTTGATCTAGGGAAGGGAGGGGGCCCGCCACCAGCCTTATATATACTTTGATGAATTTTTCATACACACACACACATACACACACAGAGCCATGTGAGCACCATCAAGATATAGAAAGCTTCCATTCCTCAAGAAATGTCTTCCATGCAAACTTCCCCATAAGTACCATGCTTCCTCCCATCTGCAACAAAGGTAACCATAATTCTGAATTCACTCATCACAGATTAGTTTTGCCTGTTCCTGAACAGCACATAAGTGAAATCGTACAGTATATACTCATTTGGATCTAGTTTCTTTCACTTAGCATGTTTTTGAGGTTTCTCCATGTTGTATGTATCTGTACTTCATTCCTTTTGATTGCTGTGCAGAATTGCATTGTATGGAGATATCATATATTGTTTGTCTATCTGTCCATTGAGGGACATTTGGGTTGTTGCCAGTTTGGAGCAATTATGAGTAAAGTTGTTATGAATGTTCTTGTACAGGTCTCAGTATAATCATACCCCTGTATGCACACCCCTGTTTTACTTCTCCTGGGGAAAACCGAAGCAGTTAAGTCTGAGTTCAAGGCTCTTCATCAAGAGCAACAGGACACTGAGGTGACGACCGACCTCATCTCCAGAGGCCCAGCTCACAGATTTAGAACATTAAAGAAGTTCCCCCAATTTGTCCCAAGTAACACTGAAGAAGTTGCCCCAATTTGTGTTGGCATGTGAGAAGACTCTGGAAGGCTGTTTTGTTCCTGTCTTCCTTGAGTCCACCACACCTTCCTTCTCCTTTCCCCTCTCACCTTTGGAGCTGCCACAATGCAGCCTGATCTGGGGTAGAGAAGAAATCCTCTCTTCTTAAAAAATAAGACATAACCTTCCTAAATGTTTACATACCTACCTATAGAGCCCCCAGATACGTAAAGCAAAATCCAAAATCCAATCCAATTTAAAGAAAAAATTGACAAATCCATATTTATACTTGGAGACATAAACACTTCTCTTTTTCCAATCAGTAGAGCATGTAGACAAAATCTGCAAAGATATATAAGATCTCAACAGTACTCTCAACCAACTTGGCCTAATTGATATTTATAGAACACTCCACCCAATCACAGCAGAATAGGCATCAGAAAGGTCTTCAATGGGAAACTAAGAGGCTTAGAACACAGTGGAGAAGGATACTCACTATTTATCCATACATGTTGAACATCACCACTTGAACATTCAGAATGCATTGGTAGACATTCTGGGGACAATCCACTTTTGGATCCTGGATTCCTCTAATTTAACCCCACTTTGAAAAGAAACTTTCTTCATTGATCACCAGACAGCCCTAACTCTTTTCTTTAAAACTAAAACCATTTATTACAATAGAAAATAGGGAAATGATACATTTTTTAGTTTCATGTTTGCATTAAAGCAAAAAACATGTATATAAGAGTGAAATCATTGTCCTAATAGAAACTCATGAAAGCCATGTGTTATCTATGATTAAAAATTGAAAAATAAAAGCCATTTACACAAAGGTCCTTAAGATATCTTTTGTGTTACACTGGTTTTATGAACTGTTTTTAACTCCCAGATTTATTGAGGTATAACTGACAAAATTGTATACATTTATAGTAAGCAATGGGATGTTTTGATACATGTATACATTGTGAAATGATTACTATAATCAAGCTAATTAACATATCCATCACCTCACGTAGTTTGTGTGTATGTGTCTGTGTGTGTGTGTGGGAGGGGAAGGGGAACATTTAAGGTCTACTCTCTTAGCAAATTTAAGTATACGATATAGTCATCATGCTGCACATTAAATCTCCAGAACTTATTCATCTTGCCTAACTGAAACTTTATGCCCTCTGAACATCTCCCCCATGACTGTCCCCTAAATTAATATCAGTCTGAAGTTTTACAAATAAACCTGGTTGATGTCAATACTAGGTTTGAAATATACAAGTGTAAATATGTAGCATTGTAGGGAGGTACTAATCAATACAACCAAACAAAACAATATTCAACAAACCTAAAAAATTAGAGGCAGATAGTTCTATATTTAAAAAGCAGAGACTTCTGCGTCCAGCAAACATGGAGTAGCAGAAACGATTTCCCTCTTGCCTTAAACAAGTGAAAAACTGGACAAAACATATAAAGCAAGTTCACAAGACAGTGATCACTGAGAAAAGTGAAAAGAATGAAGTGAGCTCTACAATTGACCCAGCTTATTTCTTGGAGAGAGTTTCTAGGCTGTAGCCCAGAGAGAGAGAGAGAGAGAGAGAGAGAGAGAGACACCAAACAGAGCCCAGTGGTTTCCCTGAATTGAAGAGACAGAGCTGAGAATTCAAGGAAGCCAAAACAGCTAAAAATTCACAGGGCAGAGTATTACAGTAGATAGAGATGTGCAGAAGAATAGCCCTGGAGATTTGGCCTGAATTCCTTTGAAGTCTTCAACTAAAAGGATCAGCAGGGGTGTGAAGAAACTATTTGGGGCCAGGATGAGATATAGGAGTGAGAAGAGCCACCCAAAAAGATTAGAGGCTTCCCTCTAATCTCTGGAGGCAATTTAGCCAATAGTTCCTGTTTCCCGCAACTGAATGGGAAAAAACCCATAAATCACATAGTATTGGGTAGAGTTCTCTGAATGATTCTACTCCAGTAGTGGGACAAAATCAGAACTAGATTGAATGCTGTTCCAGTCTCACCTTAACAAAGCTTAAAAGCAAGACCTGAAAGATTCAAACTGTTTCCAAGTAACTAAACTGCATCCTAGAACAAGCCCAACAATATTTATAGAAATAAAACAATATCTAGAATCCAACAAAATAAAATTTGTACTATCTGGCATTAAATAAAGTTATTAGGCATGCAAAGAACTAGGAAAATATGATCCATAATGAGAAAACTCATTCAAAATAAGCCAAGAAGGGATATAGATGATAGAATGAGTAGATATGGACTTTGAAAGAGTTATTAAACTATATTGTATATGTTCAAGAAGGGAGAAGAATGCAGGAGACACACTAGAAGATCCCAAACAAATTTATAGAGATAAAAATTACGATGCCGAGATGCATTTGTTAGCTTACTCTTTTCTGCTGTGGATGCTGCCGAGGAAGCACCGTTGAAGTCTCTCTTCCCACTGCCATCATGTCTAAGTCAGAGTCTCCTAAAGAACTCGAACAGCTGCTAGCTATTCATCAGAGCGTTGAGCTTTGAAATGACCAATGAGAGTCCAAGGAGCCATTTTGAGCAATGGGGAATGCTCACAGACTGTGTGGTAATGAGAGACCCAAACACCAAGCGCTCCAGGGGCTTTGGGTTTGTCACATATGCCACTGTGGAGGAGGTGGATGCAGCAATGAATGCGCGGCCACACAAGGTGGACGGAAGAGTTATGGAACCAAAGAGAGCTGTCTCCAGAGAAGATTCTCAAAGACCAGGTGCCCACTTAACTGTGAAAAAGATCTTTGTTGGTGGCATTAAAGAAGACACTGAAGAACATCACCTAAGAGACTATTTTGAACAGTATGGGAAAACTGAAGTGATTGAAATCATGACTGACAGAGGCAGTGGCAAGAAGAGGGGCTTTGCTTTTGTAACCTTTGATGACCATGATTCTATGGATAAGACTGTCATTCAGAAATACCATACTGTGAATGGCCACAACTGTGAAGTAAGGAAAGCCCTGTCAAAGCAAGAGATGGCTAGTGCTTCATCCAGCCAAAGAGGTCGAAGTGGTTCTGGAAACTTTGGTGGTGGTCATGGAGGTGGTTTTGGTGGGAAAGACAACTTTGACCGTGGAGGAAACTTCAGTGGTCGAGGTGGTTTTGGTGGCAGCCGTGGTGGTGGTGGATATGGTGGCAGTGGGGATGGGTACAATGGATTTGGTAATGATGGAAGCAATTTTGGAGGTGGTGGAAGCTACAATGATTTTGGCAATTACAACAATCAGTCTTCAAATTTTGGACCCATAAAGGAAGGAAATTTTGGAGGCAGAAGCTCTGGCCCCTATGGTGGTGGAGGCCAATACTTTGCCAAACCATGAAACCAAGGTGGCTATGGTGGTTCTGGATTCAGAGTCCAGAGTGCTCACCATTACACCATGGAACCACCCATCTATGGTGGTTCTAGTAGCAGCAGTAGCTATGGCAGTGGCAGAAGGTTCTAATTATTCCCAGGAAACAAAGCTTAGCAGGAGAGGAGAGTGAGAGAAGTGACGGGGAAGCCACAGGTTACAACTGTGGCTTGTGAACTCAGCCAAGCACAGTGGTGGCAGGGCCTAGCTGCTACAAAGAAGACATGTTTTAGACAATACTCATGTGTATGGGCAAAAAACTCAAAGACTGTATTTGTGACTAATTGTATAACAAGTTATTTTAGTTTCTGTTCTGTGGAAAGTGTAAAGCATTCCAACAAAGGGTTTTAATGTAGTTTTTTTCTTTTGCACCCATGCTGTTGATTGCTAAATGTAATAGTCTGATCATGACGCTGAATAAATGTGTCTTTTTTTTTTTTTTTAAATGTGCTGTGTAAAGTTAGTCTACTCTGAAGCCATTCTGGTAAAGTTCCCCAAGAGTGGGAAGATAGAATTCCTTCAGGTTAATGCCAGGTTCTATTTGAGATTCATTTACAACCTCCTTGGGTGGAAAAGCCATTGTCTTCAGAAACCTTGGTGTTGTTGAACTGATGGTCACTGTTGTGATCTGAAGTTCACCATTAAAATGGGTCATGCAAGGAAAAATCATGGAATTATTGGTTATAAAGATGATTGTTGGCATATCCTATGCAATATATCTAAATTGAATAATGGTACCAGATAAAAATTATAGATGGGTATCAAGTTTGTGTATCAACCATTATCATGTGTAATCAATAAACGATTTAATTCTCTTGAAAAAAAATTTATGATGCCTTAGATGTAAAAAAATACACTGGATGGGATTAAGAGCAAATTAGACACTGTGGAAATCAAGTTTAGTGACATTGAAGACAGGATTCAAGACATGCAAAATATATTCTCTGTCTACAATAGAATTAAATTAGAACCCAATCAGAAAAATATCTTGAAAATCTCCAAACATTTGGAAGCTAAAAAAAAAAAAAAGTATATTTTGCATGCTTCCATTTTTTTGAGGATTAAGAAGAGCAAAATTAATCTATGGGTATAGAAATCAGAAAAGCAGTAGTCTCAGGGGGTAGGGGAGGACGGGGATAGAATGGAAAAGGATACACAGGAACTTTCTAGGGTGATGGCAATGCATTGTTCTTGATTGGGGTATAAATTACACAAGTGTATACATTTGTAAAACCTCATCAAACTGTACACTTAAGATCTGTTCAGATTACTATATGTAACCATACCTCAAAAAAATAAGTTTAAAAAACAGGCAAATAGTCCTTAAATATATTTTTTAAATGCTCAACCTTAGTCATAAGAGAAACGCAAATTAAAACTATGCTAAGATTTCATTTTCACCTACCATATTTGCAAAAATCCAAATGTTCAACAATATAGTCTGTTATAGACCGTGGGAGAAACAGTCATCTTCACACATTGTTGCTACAACAACAAACATCTATTAAGAGCTATCTATATTAAGCAAAACTATATCTGCACTTTTTTGGCCCAGCACTCAAACTTCTAGGACTCTATGTGGATAATATACCTCCACAAATGCAAAACAACATGTGCATAAGGTCACTGTGACATGATTTGAAATAGCAAAAGATTGGAAACACCCCAAATGTCCATCATTAGGAAATGGTACATGCATACAACAATGGAACACCAATGAATTGCTATGTGATAATTTTTAGGATATAGTCAATTAAAAAAAATCAAGGTGTCAAATAATATATACAGCATGCTATATCTTGTGTAAAAAAAGAGGAGTAAGACTATATGTATATGTCTCAGTGTATTGACTTGCTAAAGTACCAGCTAACATAGCCAGAATAATAGAATTAGAAAATTAGCTTTTCAACTCCCAATTCAGTCAAAAATGATCAATGGGCTAAAATATTAAGCAAAATGTTGTTGAGGATATTTTCATGGTGCCAAGGAATCACCCCCACAAATAACTTACTCAGAAAGTGAAAAATGTAGCTTTTTGGTGGAAATATCTGGCAGTCACTACCTTAACCAAATGATCAAACAGCATCACAAAGAGTGACACAATCTGACAATGTGCCTCCTACTGGACACATTATCAGGTATACAACACCATTGATGTTAAGCATCTCCTAAGTTAAATGACACCTGGAGAAAACCATCAGACAAATACTGAATGCAGGACAGTCTATAAGACAATATCCTGGACTCTTAAATCAATGTCATTAAAAAACAAAGAAAGAGGGACACTAGAGACTAAACAAATAAAAACAAAATACAATGCATCAGTCTTGATTGGATCTTGGCTCAAAAAAAAAGACCAAACAGAAAGGCATTTTTCAAGACAATTGAGGAAATTTTAATTTGAACTGGGTATTAGATGATACTGGGATTATTCTTAATGACATGTTTTATATTTTGTATTTTTATGAAATGCATTGTTAAATATTTAGGGACAAAACATCATGAAGTCTGCAACTAACTTTTAAATGGCTCAGCAATAAATAAAAATGTGTCTGGCTATAAAATGTGAAAGAGAAAGCAAATATGAAAGCAACCATAAACAAAGGAGTACATACGTTATATGAAGTTCAAAAAGGTTGAAAGTAATTTATGGTATTAGAGGCCAGGGATGACAGTTACCTTTGGTGAGGGTGTAGTAACAGAGAAGATGAACAAGGGGGCTCGTGGAAGGCTGGTCATGTTCTATTTCTTTACATGGCTGGTGGTTAATGTGGGTGTTGGCTTTGTAATAACTCATCAAGCTGTACTCTTATGATTTGTGCACTTCATGCATGTTCTATTTCAATACAAAGTTTATAAAATTATGACAAAAAGCTTCAACAAAAATTTAAGTATTCTATTATGTCATGATTATTTAATGGGAATAACTGAAGAGTTGAATTGGGAGGGAAGAGGGGATAAAAGGCAAAAACAAGAAATGAGAGGGAGTGAGCTAGACAGAGGTAGAGGCAAGCTTAAAAGCAAGTTACAGAGTGCTAGCATGCTTGGCCTTTCCAGGTTAGCTAGCAGATTACCTACTGTTCACATACAGCTCTTCAATGGGTCCTTATTCATGAAACTTTTAAGCAGACTGACCTTTTCTAGAGGAGCAGGAGAGTCTTACAGAAGAATTCTAATTCATGAATTACAACCCCCATTTGATTTAGAATGATTTTTGACAGGGTAATTTGCAGGCTGACCAGTATTTTTAAACTATCCGGGTTTTGTACACATAAGTTGTATTTTCAAATCTTTGGTAGTTTTTTTTTTTCTTAAAACTTCTGATCCATCAGTACGTCATGTAGTTTCAAATTTGACCCCCAAAGTTTTCAGTACCTCAACCCAGAAAATCTTGTTGACTGTAGAACATGGATTGGGGCACTGATTTCCATTTATTAGACAAAGATTCCTCTCTACATGTAGTCATCTCAAAAGTTGCATCTGACTATATTTAATGAAAGATAATGGCATTTAAATCACTTAAATCTAGTTTTCTAAAGATAACATTATCTAGTTTCACTCTGCCAAATGTATTATTTTACTACCACGTGGTGAGCTAAAAGTTAATGCTTCACTCCAATTAACTATATAAGCCTACAAAATCAGTGCATTCACTTTCTCTTTTGTCCCTTCTCTTTAATAGATGTTTTAGCTGGGCATTTTTGAAAGTCAGTGTGGTTTAGAGTATTGCTTTGTGTTCCTCATACCTTGAATCTATTTGAAGTCATCACACACACACACACACACATACACACACACAGTTATAATTTAAATGCATTAGGATAGTCCTTATGTTCATTAGAATCCTCCTGTCAGTTCATATTAAAACATGTTTAATCACTTGGAAGTAAACCACTTGACACTGAATGGTTTTAAGGCCCTGAGAAAACAACGACTACATCTTTTTTTCAAATTGACACTTAAAAATCATACTTTGAATGTTAAATCAGATTCCTATCTTAAACTAGACTGGTAAGTGGTAGTCATACTAAGAGTTTAGAAAAATGCACATTAATAACTTTTACATTAAGAATATTCATTTATCACAAAAATATCACATTTTTTCAAGTTCGATTATTTGATTTTAGGAAGAAAAAAACTCAGTAGATATCACTAAGTCTTAACAGAAATTTTCCTTTCCTGTTATTTCTACTTTCTAACTCATTGTACATGCCTCTTAACCCTGATAAGTGCCACCTGTTTCAACCACAATTGTGGGTCCTACTGCACTTAAAGTCCTTTCCATTCTAAGAGTGCAAAAATCTAGGACTATGATGTTGGGAGGAGGTAAATACTACTCCCCAAATGCTTTTTCCAAAGATAACTTAAACACTATATCACACATCTCGGCATGCCCAGGACAGTCTCATTTTATGGTTATTGCCCAGTTCAATTATTAACAACACCCCCTTTCAATCTCAAAGACGTCCTGGTTTGGACTATAAAAGATCTGGTCAGCCTAATTATGTTTATCAAATTTAAAGACATCTTGATCCTGTTAAATATTCAAAATGAAAAATTTCTTTTAAACATGAATGTGTTCCTGAAGTTTCATAGAAGACAATTTTTCCACAGATGGTGGAGGTGGGGGTGGGGCAGAGCTCTGCAGCTGGTCCCTAACAGGCCACAGACAGGTATCTTAGAGGATGTTTGGTCCACTTGTCTCCTCACTTGGTAGGACAGTTCCTGTATGATCTTACTGTCTTTAAGCACCACCTCAAGCGACAGATACATGCTTCAGGTCCAGCATACTCCCTATTCCAGACCAGTAGCACCAACTACTTTTTAAACAAATTAGATGCCCTTCAGGCTTCTTCTGTATTTTCTATTCTGCTTAGAAGCCATTTGGAAGACATCTAATGAGTCTGCAGACTTTTGTCTTCCAAATCTGTGCCCTTACTTCAATCTACACAATGTCCAAAATTCAAGCCCAAATCATCTCTTCCTTGAATTTCTATGCTTTAGAAAAATAGTCTGGCAGCAATATAGAGGATAGATGGGATGTTAAAACAGGCAGGAAGACTACTAAAAATCCCAATGTTGTTCTTTTAAATCCAGTGGATGGTTTCATATCAACTACAGGATAAAGTCTAAATATCTCCCACACTACACAGGAGGTTTTCCAACATTAGGTCCTTCCTACCTCTCCAGTCGTCTTTTAACACACCTTCAACCCCTTGGTTCACACTACTTGGTTTTCAAACCCTGCTCCGTAAGGTGTGATGATGTAACCCCTGCTGAAATGCAAGGTCCAATACTACTCACTCTTCTTGTTACCTCGTCTAGGTTTTGCATGACATATTTACATGAATCTTCCATCTTAGATGTGTGTATGGAAGGTAGAAGGTAGGGATCACATCTTGTTCACAGTTTTTAGGGGGTGCTAATATGTTGAAT